CCCCCTCCCATTGACACCATCTTGACTTTGCGACCCCTTTGACCCGCCACAAATTCGACATCCCGAGTCCTTTTCGCAATCCCCCCCGAGCGTCCCAATATCAAGGACCGTACGCGAGCGGTTTAATGGATTTGTGCCGTAAACTGTTGACACACAGACCGGGCCCAGGACGATTCTGCGATTCTACAATGCTGCATCCGAGCTTCGTCAGCCTGAGCTAAAAACCGTACGAAAATTGTAGACGTTCGATGGGCCGATTAACTACGAACAAATTAAATACAAAATTTAATTAATTACTAACTAATAATTAATGTCATGATTAATTACTAACCAATAACTAACGCCCTAATTAATTACTAACCAATAATTAACTACCAAATAAATTACCAACTAATAGTTAACATCCTAAATAATCACTAACCAATAATTAATGCCCTAATTAATTAATAATTAATTGCCTAATTACTAATTAATGCGAATTAGTAATCACCGGCTCGGTTCTCGGGCGTGTTCCTGCCGTCGGGTCGCGACGGCACGGACGGCACGGGCCGGCCGGGCGGCGCTGGTGGCGCCCTCGCGTTCTTCGGAGGATCGCGGGCCGGGCCGAGACGGGCCGGCGCTGCGAACCCGCGATGGAGTCGTCCGTTTCTATCGGAGAGCTGAGCGAGAGATACGCGTGACGTGAGACGAAGGGAGCTAACTTGTGTGGTTCTGGAGAAAATACATGCGTCAGTGAGAGAGACTGACGAAAAAACTACATCACGTGAGCGAGAGATGAGAGAGAAATACACTCGCGCGAGAGTCTCGAGCAAGGAGCGAGATGAGACGTTGGTGGAGAACGAGAAGAGAGAGAGTGACTGGAGCGAGAGCTGGGAGAGGGATATGATAGCGTGCATGAGACTTTTCTACGTAGATCGGGACTGCGGACCGGCGGAACAGACCGGAACGAGAAGACGATGGACCCGGATCGGCAGACGATGAACGAACTCAATCTGGCGCCCAGAGGAAGGAGACAAGAGAGACCGACGAGACAGACGAGCGCCCTGCTCATCATACCTCAAGAGGGAGTGAGCGATGGATGAGAGAAATAAAGAGGCTGTAAGAGGGAGGAGAGACGATTGGAGACGGAGTGAAATGGACCGAAGATGGAGACGGAGAGACGAGACGAGAGAGTCCGAGAGAGAAGAGAGGAAGAACGAGAGAGAGAGACGAGAGTGATGAGAGAGAGAGAGTAGAGAGAGAGAGAGAGAGAGAGAGGGAGAGAGAGAGAGAGAGAGAGAGAGAGAGAGAAGAGAAGACGGACGAGTAGACGAGAGGAGAGAGAAGCAGATCCGAGATGAGAGAGAGACGAGAGAGAATACATGTGAGTGAAGAGAGCTGAGAGAAAAAAGTTGAGTGCAGAGAAGAGCAACAGGATTACCGCTGCAATGAGAGAGATGAGAGAGAAAGATGAGAAAGAAATAAGAGCAGAGCGAGAGAGAGAGAGAGGGAGAGAGAGCAGCAGCAGAGAGAGAGATAAGAGAGAGAAGATACACGTGAACGAGAGCAGACGAGACGATACACCCGACGAGAGAGAGAGAGAGAATACACCCGTGCAACGAGAAGAGAAGAGAAATATGTGAATGACGACAAACGATGCAAAACAATGCCTCGTGTTGTGAAATCCGGTTTACAAAGTCTGTGATACCGTGCCGCAGATGATGCCAAAATAGAACTGTGCCTTCCACAAACACTACAACACGGACGCGGGGCTGGAGGTATGCACACTGACATGCCTCGAGTTTTGATACATAACATATACATAAATAAGTGAGGAATAATAATAACATTCTAAATCTAATCAATTCATAAGTTAGCCCATTTTCTCGGACCTATCTGAAAATTTTATGTACCAATCCGCTGCATAACTTTTTCATTAGTTCGTACACTAAACAAACCAAGATAATCGCACAAAACCCAAAACCAACAAAACACGCCGCGTTAAAACATAACCTTCTGCCAACTTTGGCGGAAGGTAATAAAAAAAACAACAACAATAATAATAACAAGTGCCGCATAGCGGACAGCGACTCATTCTAACGTCTACTGCTGTGACTCTGTGGGGAGTGTTGGCGATTCTAGTAAACCCTGTTAGTCCCAAATGTGTTCACATACACGCCGAAACAGTGGAATGCACAGGGATGGTATCAGGAACCTTCTCAAGAATGTTTCCGTTCGGGATCGTATATGAAAGTTGCACGAGATGGGCGCATACGTTTAAGTGTCTTCAGGATTAAAGGCATGGAAGCACTCCCATCATACTAGTATGGCCACTGTAGAAAAACAAATAAAAAAAACCCCACACAACTATTCTGCCAAGACAAATAGGTAAGCACTCATCCATCTTACCTACGCAAGCTGACAGGCTGCCGCACACTAGAAAAAGAGCTGCCAGCACTGTTTACCAATTAAGGGCAAAAACTCCACAGTCCCACCAACACATGCACTGGCAGTAGCCACTGGCAGTGGCAATACGTTAATTTGTAACATACTGACAGTACAGCAATGCCATATAAAATTACATACAATTTAAGAGCATAACCTTCTTTAACCAAATTTAGCTTTGGACAATTTCACTGTGACATTGTAGCCTCAATACATCCAAGGCATGTATAGATTCTACTGGTAGCAAACCCGGCAGTCAAATTCTTTCTAACAGACAGTCAACAAATCCATGTTTAACCCTCCTTCTTTTAGGGTCAAAAAAGGTTATCTGACACTTACTCTTTCGCATGTCAGCAAGAAAGTTAGATTTCATGCCGTCCTTCCAATAATGCCATAAAAATGCTAGGTCACCGCCTGAAACAAAAAGTTTTTCAATCGCTCCGTCAGACCATGTCCTCAGAAACATGTCTAAAATCTGCCCTGTGCCCATTGACCTTTGACCTGTGGACCTCAATTTCGGCACAGTGATGGCCTTTTCCTACCATGATGCTATACACCGACTATCACGAGCCTGGTCGAGCGTTTAGATTTGTGCCGCAATTCTGCATTTCCTCCCTATACCTTAAGATTAAGGAGTGAATGTTCCCCTTCTTTTACACCTCTGGAACCTTTGACTTTGACCCCAGCTTCGGACAGCCCAACTCGATTTTGACGATCCCCCCGACGTCTCGAATATTCGGACCGTTGACGTCAAGCGGTTTAAAGATTTGTGCCCAACTGGTTGACGGCACGGAATACGGACGGAGGACGACGGCGGAGCCGGACGGACGCATCGTGCGATTCTACAAGCCTGATCTTGACTATGTCAGATGAGCTAATAATTGTAAAGCCAATATTTACTTTTTTGTTGTTATTTTATTAAAAATAGCCGATAACAAATAGCAATGATAACAAGTGCCCGCAGGAGCGGACAGCGCTCACTGACGGCAGCGTGTCTGATGCTAAACTCAGGGCAAAACGAATCAGGAGCACCCTCCCATCGCCGCGTTCGGCTCGTCCTCGTTGTCTCTCATTCTTTCTCTTTCGCCTCTCTCGCTCTTGCTATCTGCTTCCGCTCGTCGGCGCGCTCTCTCTCCTCTCTCTCTTGCTCGATCAGACTCTCGCTCCTTCTCTTCTCCTCGCTCCGATCACACTCTCTTCTCTTCTCTCTCTCTCTTTCTCTCTCTCTCTCTCTCTCTCTCTCTCTTGCTCTCTCTTCCCTTCACGCTCTCTCATCTCCCTCTATCTCTCGCTCCACTCACTCTCCCTCGTTTGTCTCTCTCTTTCTTTGTCTTTGTACTTATCTCTCGCTTCTCTCTCCCTCTCTTCGTCTCTCTACTCTCTCTCTCTCTTACTTTCTCTCTCACTCTTGCGCGCGTCTCTCTCTTTTCTCTCTTCTTCTCTCTCTCTCTCTCTTCATCTCTCTCTCTCGCCTCTCTCTATCACTCTCTCTCTTCCCCTCTCTTTCTCTCTCTCTCTCTCTCTTTCTCTCTCTCTCTTCTCTCTCTCTCTCTCTTCTCTCTCTTCTCTCTCTCACTATCTCTCTCTCTCTCTCTTCCTCTCTGTCTCTCTCTCTCTCTCCCTTCCTCTCCCTCGCGCTCTCTCTCTCTCACTGCTTTCCCTCGCTCTCTCCTCCCCTCTCTCTCAATTTTCTCTTCTTTTCTCGCATGGCAGTAGCCGCTGCCGACGAGGCTTGGATGACTGATTTTGGGTTCTATACAGACCGTCTGCGATTGTCTATTCAGACTGATTGTCTGATGGTCTTCTAACCCTGGAGCAAGACCGTTTTCGGGGACGCAAGCAAGGCGGTAACGTTTTTTATATACTTCACATCAAATGTTTATACTATAGTATACCCCTGCTTTCTGCCAAACCAGTAAACTGCGCATGTACCGACTGACGTCACCGTTCCTACGCAGTAAAGTGAGTAAACTATCCAGATCCACTGTGAGTCTGTGACGTCATTTTAGCGACGAAACAAGCTTTCAACCTCTTGCGACCCCCACTTAGAAAACCTGTCATGCCATCAGCAGCCACCAGGTGGCACACCCATACTGAGGCGCCATCTATGAGAAGAATGGGTCGTCTGCAAACGGATCGAGCTTGGCAGAAAAGAATTCGTCTTCCGATATTGGTTTCATGTCACTGCAAGAAACAAGTGGGAAAACGTAAAACATATATAAATATGTGAATGTGCATAAGTATATATAAATGTAGAAATATATATATATATATATCAGAAGTAGATAATAGGGAATCCCCTATTATCTACTTCTGATATATATACATAATAAAAAATAAATGTAGAAAAAATTGAATAGGGTGTTAAATTTTAATCAGCAAGCTTTCAAGTATCATCTCTCTTCATCAGGGTATAGAATGACAAGAGAATGGAACCGATTAAAATATAAAACGAAATATATATATATACACACACATATATGTTTAGAGGATGTTATTTATACAGGTACATATATAAATATATATTTATGTATATATATATAGACGATAAGAAGGTACAAGAGCAGACGGTAGAATTAAGATACGACAGGTTACACATGTTCTTGGGTCACAAAAGGAACATCAGGAAAAAATTGACAGAAAAAGAAAAGGGGAGGGCGACGCGGGGAAGCGGGATCTCTCCGGACACTCACGGTGTCACTCTCCGCGGTCGCTTCCCGCTCGGGATAGACCCCGGCGCGCAGGAAGGAAGCCTTCCAGCTGTCCAGCGTGTCCAGATCCTCTGTGGACAGTTCGAGAGACTTGTAGTCCTTGTAGACGTTCCTGCAAACAAACAAACAAACAAACAAACGTTGACGTCGCACGCGGAGGTTAGAAACCAAGAGTGAAAATTCGTTTAAATTTAGAAAGAGTATTGATTAGAATTTGTTTAAATTTGAGTGAAATTAAAATTAAAATTGTTTTGCGAAGTATAATTTACCCACCCGGGGCAGAATCTTTGGTGCTTTTACTGTGATTTACTAGGAATTTTGTAGGTTAGGATTTATTAAGTTGAGAACAGGCAGCAAAACTGACCCCTGTAGGCAGCAAAACTGACCCCTGTAGGCAGCAAAACTGACCCTTGTAGGCAGCAAAACTGACCCTTGTAGGCAGCAAAACTGACCCTTGTATAGGCAGCAAAACCTGACCCCTTGGTAGGAGCCAAAACTGGACCGCCTTGGTAGGCAGGAAAACTTGAACACCTTGTAAGGCAGCAAAAACCTGACCCTTGTTTAAGGCAGCAAAACTGACCCCTGTGTAGGCAAGCAAAAAACTGACGCCTTGGTCTAGGCAGCCAAAACTGACCCTTGTAGGCAGCAAAAATGCTGCTTGCAGACCTTAACTTCGAACCCTGAGATGCCTGCATCGTAGATGCTCACCTGCCTTCCACGTTGAACACCTCAAAAAAATGATGGAACGCTTGTGACATGAATCCGTGGCTGGCTAACTGTGTAGTGATTCTACATTACTCACGCGCCGCTTCCTTGCCTTCCACTTAAACACCCTCATAACATGTGACGCTTGGAACATGATGTGCTGGCTAACTGTGGTACGTAACTACCATACGTCACGCGCTCCGGCTTCCTTCACCGTGCCTCCACACGTTAAACACCGTCAAACAATGTGAGCTGGACATGAACCGTGGCTGGGCTTAACTGTGTAGTATCTACGATACGTCACGCGCTCGCGCCTCGCTCACCTGCCCTTGCCAACCGTTAAACACCTAAAAACATGTGGTCGCTTGGACATGAATCCGTGGCTTGGCTTATATGTGTACGTAATCTTACCATACGTCACGCGCATCGCGTCGCGTCACTACTGCCTCCACGCTCACAACACCTCAAACATGTGACGCTTGACCCCATAATCACTGGCTGGCTAACTGTGTACGTATCTACATACGTCACCGCGCTCAGGCGGCAGGCGCTCACTAACGCTGCCTTCCACGCTAGTAAACAACCGTCAAAAACATGTGTCCCGCTTGGACATGGGAATTCCAGGTGGCTGGCGTAACTGTGTAACGTATCTACATACGTCAC